TATTTGAATTATACTGAATGCAAATTGTAATATGATAAAATGAGATGTAAGAAATAAGAGAAGCAATAAAAGTACAAGTAGAAATCATACAGCATCTACCACAGCGCATTACAATTGCTTCAACAGGCAGAAAAATCATTTACGGTAAGTGGTCCACAAAGATCATCAGCATGAGGGGAAGAGTTTGGGAACCACGGTAATAAAGCACCCCATAACAGGAACCTTTGAGAACCTCAGTCCAATGAGTCCAGCACAACAGACTGTAGCAAATGTAGGGTTTACAAGAATGGCCTCAACATCCTTTGCAGAAACATGGTATAAAACAACAAATAACTACACTTCAATTGCAAGGAACAAATGTCTGAGGCATTTCACTGGTCCATCTAAGCTTCTGTTTTCAGTTATTCTTAGAGAAACATGTCCTTTTGCTCACTCGCTTCTGCAGATGGAGGGAGAGAGCAATTGCCAAAAGACATTCAGATGCCATGGATACACAGATCTTCTCAGATGGGTAAGACTCTCTGGCATTTCAAGCACTAGGCCAAAACGTACAGCGTTGGACCGCACTGGCAACCAATCATAACTCAGCTGTTAGCAGAGTTTTGAGGCAATAGTTTTATGGTCTCTGTTCTTATTTTCATCATGGTTCCTTGATCAAGATGCATTCAACATCCTTTTAAAAATATTTGTAACAAATGTTTGACAGACAATTAAAACTTTAGTTTTGTTGCTTGTTTATAGAGCTCGTTCTCTGAAGAATGTTATAATGCAATTACTGTCAATAGCAGGTCTCTTATAAATGTAGCTATACACCAAAATGAACAGAGAGTGAGATAAGATTATGTGATTTTATTTTCAATAGGATGTTTGATTTATGCCAGCCATCATTACCAAAAGATATGCAAAGCCTCCACTAGATCAACAAAACCAAACAATTTACTGCATAATACCAGTCTACTCTTTACATCTGAGTGATGAATACTGCATTTAAAGTAATTCCTTTTATTATCCTAACAGATGAGCTTGCTACAGATCTTTCGTGATATAATTTCAGAGATTAAGCTGTTTCACATTTTTTATTCATCTATCTGCATTTGAGAGAATATAAAGATATGACCATTAAAAAGCCTAAAAGAGGAATAAATTAAAAAATATTTCACATGTAAACAATAATATCATTTTCACAGGTTGGATAAAGACAGATTTATTCATATTCATATTTCTGATAATTTTTTGCAACTTGCTACAAAGATAAAGCCAAGCCTATAGAAACAGTCTCGACTATTTAAACTACAGCAAGGATGAACAAACTGTACTTGATAGGACCATGAATAAATTGTATCTGGATCCAAAATCTAATCAAGGTGTGTGGTTTTTGCTTTATTTAAAGTCTACCATTTAACTTGTAAAGAAAAGAAACTTGTTCTCTCCTCAGGTATTTTATGCAGCGCCTGAGCACCTGAGCCCCACGTAACTTAAACCCTTACTGATACTAGTGCTGACTTTTGTGGAGTGTCCTCACACTACTGTCTTGTACTCAGCTATCTACAAGAGTGACCACTGAAAATACAGAAGCTGACAATCTCCAAGCTAGAAGAAAAAGGGATATAAGTTTGCAGGAGCAGAATAATGATTCCCCCCCCCTCCCTGGAAAGAACAGCATCACATTTTCATTCTCTCTACCAAGGATAGGACAAGTAGTAGTAGTCATAAAGAACAAAGATTTATGCTAAATGTTACAAACAGCAAGTGCGGTTTATCCCTGGAACCAAAGGCCTATGGAAATGGGGGAAGCTTCTTCTTTGGTAAGTTGCAAAAAAAAAAGCTGGACAGAAGGAATGGATTAAGCAAGTTACATCAGGAACGTCCCAACTCTTACTCTGAACACAGGCTCACATTGAGTGTTTATTTCTGCTTGTAGGTGCCTGAACTGTTGCCTCCAAGCAATGTTCGAAATTAGCCCAGGCCCATTCTGCACCTGGCTATCGACCACTTGCAAATGAGTGAAGACGTCTGGGTGCCAGGATGGCACCTGACATCTCCACCATCTGGAGGTGCATGCCTGGGAATCACTAGATCTTGACTGTTTTCACACACTAATACAATAGCCTGTAGAATTCTATCAGTTATGTTTTATCTACACAATCAGAATGAATTTCGGGAACCGAAATGCTTCTTCTGTGCAGCCTGGCAACTATAATCTTGGTTTAAGGAGCCACTTGGTGTCTAGCTTATATATCTGAGTTTCTAACACTGCCTCCGAGATTCACATCTCTCAATGAGAACTAAGCCAGAGCAAGATTTCCACAAACAGCCTATGAAAAGACTGGTCTTTCTGCCTAAAGATAAGGTGGCTTATATTACTTTAAAGGGGAATTTTTTATGAAGGATAGTTCCATAAATGGCTATTGGCCATGCCATCTAAATACAACCCCTGTGTAAGAGATACTATGAATACTAGCTGCTGGAGGGCAAAAAGGAGAAGACTGTTCTCTTCATCCCTACCAAAGGGCTTCACAAAGAATCTGTCTTGCCATTGTTTGAGAATGGGTGCTAGACTAGATCAGGAAAGGCTTATATATTATTACATATATCATGTAAACCATAGGCATAGGCAAACTTGGCTCTCCAGATGTTTTGGGACTACAACTTCCATCATCCCTAGCTAACAGGACCAGTGGTCAAGGATGATGGGAGTTGTAGTCCCAAAACATCTGGAGGGCCAAGTTTGCCCATGCCTGATGTAAACTTTTACATATTACTAGGGGGCCACTTACTGCATTATTCGGGGGCCACTTACTGCATTATTCGGAAGTTCCTTGGCTTGACAAAACTCATGAAAGTCAATAAAACTTCACTGACTTTTCAGCTAGTAAGTAGTCCAGTTGCAGTTAATCAAGAAATTAATGAAAATGGCAGTGAATGCAAAATAACCAGGAAAAGCTGTTAATGAGATTTACAGTGGTACCTCGGGTTACAGATGCTTCAGGTTACAGACGCTTCAGGTTACAGACTCCGCTAACCCAGAAATAGTACCTCAGGTTAAGAACTTTGCTTCAGGATGAGAACAGAAATGGCGTGGCGGCCAGAGGCCCCATTAGCTAAAGTGGTAACTCAGGTTAAAAACAGTTTCAGGTTAAGAACGGACCTCCAGAACGAATTAAATTTTTAACCCGAGGTACCACTGTATTTTTATTTCCTGCTCTTTCTTGTTATCTGAAGAGAAGCGAACCTATTTCACAATATATTCCACCGAACCCTATACTGTATACATGTAGCAGTGCATACATCCCTCTCCACTGAGATCCATTTACAGAAAGTGACTTGGCAGAACTGTCTGCAACACAGCAGGATATTTGGGAATTGAGATAAAGTAAAACACAAAAATAGACTTCAGACATGAACAAGCACAAAAGGAAACATGAGCTCAGCACATGCTTAATGACAATGAAATAGTTCTCTGCTAAGAGCATTTTAAAAATTAACTCCTAATAAAACAAACCTGCTAATCAAAAATACAGATTTTAATCTTGTTCACCAACTTCTTTGTTCTCATGTACCATTTTGTCTCATGTATGCACTTCAAAGGTTTGTTTTAACAAACTTGACTTTACAGTACTTCTTTAAAGCATCAGGCCTGCAACCTAAACATCATCCTACTTTGTATGCACCTTTAGCTCTTTTTCCAAACCCATTTTAAAATGATACAGACCAAGCAGACCCTCGACTAACAAAACTACAAGTTTGATCAGGAAGTCAAGTTAACCTTTGTGTTATGCCCTTTGGACATTGCTTTATAGAACAGTCTATTTGTTTTAAAGCACGTTTCCCATCACTTCAAGTTTGGCTAACAATAGCATTTCAAATTTGGAAAAAATAAATAAAACTGAACATATCTGAACTAAGTATTATGCTTGTACTTACAAGCATGTTCTATCATGCTTGTAAATCCTTATAAAAAGATGCCACATTATGGAATGTATCTGACAGAATACGCAGGTCACAAAGGTGCCAACAGTAGGTTATGTAGCAAGAGGATGGGGAAAAGAAGAGAACAGTTTTACTGTTGAGCTCTCTTGGTAAAATATTTGGGAATCACAACCCAAAAAAGTATTCAGAGAAATCCTATGCATGCTTCCTTGGGAATAAGTTGCATGGGGCTCAGTCCTAAGTAAGCATGCATACAGCAGCAGTCTAAAACATGCCAACTTTTCAGAAAGAATGTAAACCTGCTGAAGTCACTGGCAAAATTGGGAACCCAGAGCATTTTGAGATCACAACTTGATCTGAATGCATATGCACACCTGAAATCCAAACCAACTGATGGCGCACATCAACAAGGGTGAAACTGAAGGTGACTTGGCACACGTGCCAATCTCCGTTTGGAACAGAGGAGTTTCTGTGTGGAATCTTTGCTATGAATTCAGTGACAACCCCTTTGCCACATTAGCAAGGCTCTGAAACAGCCAACCAAATGAGCAAGTGGAAATCATTTCTCTCATACTGGGAAGCAGATTTGAGGCTTTCAACTGAGTCACAGCTTGTCCTTTAGCTGCCCCCACTTCTCAGGTGAAAAGGGGCACTTCTCAACACTGTCACAGGCTGCGGGTAACAAGGCACCTCATTTTTCCCACTGTGCCCAATACACCCTACACTTGGGGGAGGGGGCAGCAGGAGGCAGAAAAATATAAAGTGGCAGCGTTTCTATTACATGCATACACTCTCCCCTCTTTCTGGACTAATCTCTGCTCCTCTCTCGGCAGAAGCATCTGGCATTTCCCCCCAAGGTGATGGCTCTGGCCTCTGCCGAAGGCTCATGAGAAAGAAAGAGAGAGAGAAAGAAAGAAGAGAGAGAGAAAGAAAGAGAGAGAGAGAAAGAGGGGGCTCCCCCCATGACCTCCTTGTAGGTGTGACAGTGCACCAAAGTGCACCAAGTCTCCCGCCCACCCTCCCCCTCGCCCCCTTCCCCGGCGCAGCCCTCCTTCCCCCTCCGCACTCACCGCGCCCAGCCTTCGCTCTCTCCGCAGCCCCGGCGCCCGCTGCCTCTAATGGAGGAGGGAGGGACGGAGGGAGGCAGCGGCGGCGGCGGCGGCGGCCGAGCGAGCAGGAGGGATCTATCTGTTTACTAGCCAGTTCTCGCGAGAGGGTGGATCCCTTTGCCCGAGCGAGGGATGGGGAGCCGGGAGCCGCTGCCGATTGGCTTCTCGGCGCGCCTGAAGCGCTCCCAGGGCCAAGGCGAGCGCACGTGCAGCTGGGGATCCCGGCGCGCAGAAGGGGCGCCGCTGAAGTGCGCGGGACTTGCTTGTGGGGGACCCGGAGAGCAGCGCTGCGGAGTCGGGACGGGGCGGGATCGGGCCCCTGCGCAGGGCGCCCCTTGTGCCGCCTGAGGGTCGCGGTGGGGCGCCCGCGCAAGGCTCTCTCGCGCCCCAGGCCGGGCTAACTGCGCGCGCGCAGACACGCACGTCCAAGTGGCCAACACAGAACTGCACTCTCTCTTTTCCGCGGAAGCCGCTTGCTGCGCAGAGAGCGCCTTCTACTTGAAAGCCCCGCTGACCTCGTCTGTGGAAGTGCCCGAGCTTCCTCCTCAAGCCGGGCAGCGAAGACCAGCTGGAAGCGGGAAGAGAAGAAGTCTTCCCCCCGGCTGGGTGCTGCCCGCGCGGCAGATGGCAGGCAGGGAGGGGCGTGGAGGTGTCGTTTGAAGCCAGGGGGAAATTCTGTGCCGTTTGTTGCTCATGCCCACCCACCCCTCCGGTTTTTTGACGCTCCTTATTTAAAAAGTGCATCAGCATACCTTGTCATGGGTTAGTGGGCTGCCAGATTTCCTCCTCTAGATTCTTGGCTGCTGGGGTATTAATCGGAGCTTGGAGAACTAAGGTGAGCTGACAGGCTGAGCTTGTTGTTTTGCCCGAGGGAGATGATGGCCTTGCCATTCAACCATGGCAAGAGCCATCTACAAGACAAACGACCCTACCGGGAATCATGGGCATAGCGGGGGGGGGGGCAACTGCCCCCCCATCAAGAAAAGCAATAGGAATACTGAACTAACTGACCAATCACATCACTCCTGTTCCCCCTAACAAAAATCCTGGCTGTGCCCATGCTGGTAATGGAGGGGGAGGTTGCCCATTCCCGTGAGTGCGAGAGGAGGAGGAAACTAGGCAGAACTCCATGTGGCGCTGGTTGGAGGAGGATGCACTGAGAGACCAATGGCCATGACTGGCTTCTACTTTGGACCTTAGCTTGCTGAAGCAGTGAAAGGAGCAACAAAAGATAGCCTTGGGGTTTAGGACTCCAGGTGTAAATGTGTGTGAATAAACTATATTTCTAAGACACTGCGGACTGCACTATGCCTTCATTTCCCAATGGAAACACAACCCTGGGTGAGCGTCTGGCTACCGTTTGGCAGAAATTGGCTTGTAACAATATACTGAAAATTCGGCATGGACCTGAGTTACTCTTTCCTGTATAAAAAGAAGTCAGCAATTGATGCATTATTTGGTACTGTAAACATAAATTGTTAACCTGGATTGACTGGTTTTTTGACCCATTGGCCTCTTGCCAGACTACTGGACTGGTTGCCAGAGATGTTGGAGTAAAACTGTTGTCATCTTCCTTTACGTGCTTTACCTGTGCAGGAGTTAGGGTCAGTCCCCAAAGTACTATTTCCGACACCTACGTAATGTTTGGGTTTATGTGCAAACATTTTCCTTGTCTAACCCAGTGCCTTCCAGACGTCTTGGGCTACAACCCCCCATCAGCCTGGAGGCACCATGTTGGCTGTTCCTGGTGTGGAGAGTCTGCAACAGCTGTTGTATATTTCCTTAACACAGACCTCGGGTGGCTCCCTTCATTCCCAGAACCCAGGCCCAGAATCAGCCCATCATATTGGGCTTGTGATCCAAAGTACCCAAAGGAGCCAGTGTGGTGGTAGTGGTTAAGAGCGGTAGTCTCGTAATCTGGGGAAACCGGGTTCGCCATCTCCGCTCCTCACCTGCAGGCTGTTGGGTGGACCTTGGGCCAGTCACAACTTCTCGGAAGTCTCTCAGCCCCACTCACCTCACAAGAGTGTTTGGTTGTGGAGGGAGGAAGGGAAAGAAGAAGGTTAAGCCGCTTTGAGACATCCTTAAAGGGAGTGAAAGGCGGGATATTCAAATCCAAACTCCTCTTCTTCTTCTTCTGTCTTTCTTCTTCTTCTTCTTCTTCTTCTTTTCGTCATATCAAACCATCTACGGCTCCACAATTGGCAAGGGAGGCCCGGTTGGTGCCGATCCATGATAGGGCATTCTCAGTGGCAGTTACCCCGTTTTGGATTGCCCTCCCTGGTGTCACAGCACTGTCAGGCAAGGAATGTCCAGTGTGAGGAATTAACTCTTTATTGTTGAAAGTACACTTACAAGTTAGGGAAAGGCATGTCCATCTGTCCTATGTCTCTCAGCTACTCCTAGGTGTGCACCCAATGAAGCAGTTGCCACAAGAGAGAGGCCCCATCCTGACCTTGGGTTATGTATCTTTTCCACCTGAGCTGTGCGCAAGCAGGCAAAGACTCCACCTGTGTGCAACTTGCTACTGCTCCACCCTCTTCAATCCTCCTCTGGTCCTGGGAGAATGTGGAGCAGGAGAGGAGGGGGCAGGAGAAGGAGGTGGGGAAGCCCTTGACTCTATGCCTGGGGTCAGCAACCTAAGGTCCATGGGCCACAAGCGACCCACAGGGGTCGTTTAACTGGCCCATGAGCCACCTCCAAACCGAGCCGCCTGCTCTGCGAGTCCCTGCATGCTGCGCTAAACCGGCGCAATGTGGGGACTCACGTCCGTGGCACCGAAAATCATGTCTGCGCAGATGTAGACGCCGAATATTGCGTCTGCACCAATGCAGAAGCCGGAAATCGCAGGCACGCGTGCAATCTGGCCCACAGAGGGAATCTCCGCTGGAGTGAACCGGCCCGGGCGAGGTACCTTGCCGACCCCTGCTCTATGTCTCCTATATCTCCCTCCTGCACCTGTTCTTGACTTTCCAATTCTTCTGCTGACGCTTGTCTCCTGGAGGTTAAGATTCCCCCAGATCACTGATCCCTTTTTTCAACCCTACTTCTCCCAGTCTCCACTCATTAGTGTCCAACCGATCCCTGACATCTGGTGAGGTGCATCCATCTGCTTTATGAATAACACTAAGAAGGGACTTAAAAACATTCATGTTCACCCAAGCTGCAAGATATACTTCCAGCAACCTTCAGATTACATGCAACTCTCAGCTTATGTGGGGTCACATTCTGGAGATAGCGTGTAAAGCCAAAATTACCTGTAGTCAAAACACATTGGGTTCAATGGTGAGTGGGATTGCCAAAGTCTTTTTTTCCGGGTGCCCACTCCCTTCAAAAAAATTTTGCCAAGCACATTAATCTGAATATACACAAGTAAAATGTGTGTAAATTGAGAGTTACCTGTATTAGATTTGGGGATGGGTGACTGCTGTTGAAAGTTTTTAGATGTTCTCAATGCTATTAAATGTTTTTATTCTATTGTTTTCCTGCGTTCATCCCCATCCCCAATGCCGAGGCTTCTTGGAACAACCAAGGGCTCTGCAAATAAAACCTCAGTAATGGTGGACACCCTTCTCTGAAAGACAGCCTCCTTTCCACTACTAAGCTTCTGCAACTTTAATTCCAGTGGACCATTGGATGTGTGTTATGTGCTCATAACTGCCTTGCCACAAGGAGGATAAAAAGGCCTTTGGTGGTACTTGGGCTTTGGCAAACTTGCAGAGGGCAATTATTTTTTCTGCATCTATTCAAATAGGTGAAGCCCACTGGTTTCAATGGGGTTTTACTTCTAAGCAAAAGCAACTATGATTTACAACCTATGAACCTTACCTGATGAAAATAGAATTTCTTTTTTTCTATTCTTTAAATGGAAAGGACCCTGCATCTTGCAGGCCACTATTAAAAACAGAATGCAAACTAAGGTCTGGGGTGTTAGCGGAGGGGTAGTGTGGGACAGGTCTGGTGGGGGACATGTTGTGCTTCTACTGGGGTAGTATGTCCACCTTTGGTCCCCGCCCTGCCCTAAGCTCTCAGCTGTGGCTCCTAGATGCTGCCAGCATGTGACAGCAGCCACACCCGGGAAACGGCTTTGACTGGCCGGCTAAATAAATAATACTTGCACAAATAATTACTGCAGTAGCTGGAAAAGCATGAAGCCCTTTATAGAGCTATTCCTGGTGCCTGCTGCCGCTAACATTTTACATATTGCTTGTATTCTTCAGCTTTGCCTTTTGTCCCTTTTGCTTCATTTCTCAAGCACTGCGGTTAATTAATGTGATACTTTTCATCTGGTGAACTGGAGCAGCACTGTTTCCCTCTCGGCACTGTCTCATTACTAAGCTAAGCAAGTTTAACAGTGCTGCTTAAAGTTTGGAAGCATGTGTGGTATAAAGTACCTTTGATGTGAACAGGACGGGGCTCTCCCTATTTGCAGCACGAGTCGGGGAATTAGTTGCCCGTGCAGCGCTGTCTCGAGAATAAACAACCTTTGGTTTTGCCTGGTCTTGGTGTCTGACTCCTTCTTCTCACAGAGCAATTGACTCCCTCTGGGGAAGATCCCTGGAGCAAATTTGTCCTACAGCATGTTTGTTAATAACCCTCTTCCTTATTTTCTGCAGATGAGTATTCTGCTAATATGCAGCCATTAGTGCCAGTGGAGGATTCAGTGTATATTTAATAATATGCAATTATTAAAAAGGGTAGATGGGCTGTCATTGCAGGGGGGATTGTAATGATTTTGAGGTTGCAAGAATTCACAGAAAACTTCTTGTCCCCATTCTTGGATATATTTTAGATTAAATTACAAAAACAACAGTATATATCTTAAGAACATGTTGTGGTTGGGAAGTTATAACATAGCAAGATTGACAGTATTTTTGATTGCTTATAACAATAAACATTCAGTGTTTAAAGCCAGTGAGCTGCTGTAGGATAAGTGTATGTAATCTGAAAGGTGGCCGGCCCCCTCTCTAAATGGATAGAATGAACACTTCAGGGCTAGATGCTGAAAGCTGTCTCCAAATGGGCATAAAACTCATTGAGAATGTACACGAAGAACCATACAAAATGAAGAACCATACAAAATGAATTATTGAAATATTTGCATTTATTTACTAGGAGTCAAGCCTTACATTAAAGCTTTGTGGTATATTGGCCGCAGGGCATTTTGCAAGACTAAGCCACATCTGACCTGCTGAGTTCTGGTGGAAGAAAAATGATTTAGCTGAAATTCCCAGCTGCTTGCTTGATGCTGAAAAAGCCATGCTTCACTTACTTTTAATAAATATTGGATTACCAGAATAGTGCAAACAAAACTTTACCCCTTAGTGACCTTCCTTTGGTTCTCCCCGCCTTTGTCGGACTGTCATAGACAGAGCCCTTCTCCTAAAATGCAGAATTCTTCCCCTGTTTTCTATGGAAACCAATTTAAATCCTTCTGCTTCAAGATGTTCTTGGGATTTGTTAGGCTCAGAAACAAGATGGAGGGAATCTGAAATCAGGAACTGTTAAAATATTTTTGTCCTCCAAAACTATTTCCCTGTTGCTAGTTGATCAATAGATTCAAGAGTAGCACTATACAGTGATGAAGTACAGTCATTTCCACCATGTGGTCCTTTTAGATCCTAGCTGACTGGCAACACAATAGGCCCAATGACTTCATTCTCTGATGACTGCTTCCCCTATTACTTATCGCTGTAACATACATTCCTAAGATGTCTGCTGGGTAGCATCAAGAATACCCCCGATTCTGTAACCTTCAAATGTGTGTCTATTTGTACTGTTCTTATGTCAAAAGGCCTTCACACAAAAGGCTCCCTCCTGCTGGTTCCACACCAGTGCAGAATGAGGGCCCAGGTTCAGTCCTTGGAACTTCTAGATAGGGCCGCCCCAAACCCTGGAGTGCCACTCTCAGTCAGCATGTTAATGGTCTAATTCACACAGAAATGAAAAATGTGTATGTATTAATTGAAATGGAAAATGGCTGAAAACAAGAGTTTTTCTAAAGGACTCTGAGCTCCTGCTGAGTTAATGATTAACTGATGGTTGTTCTCTGGTAGCTAACCGAGGGTTGTAACTAGGATCATGTGAGAAGGTATGGGGGTCGCAATTTCCATTTTGAAAGGAGTTGCCTTTGAGTCTTTGCCTCTCAAACTTAATGGGAGTGAAGATGCAAATGGAGTTTTCTCTCTGAATGGTACACAAAGAACAACGCAAGTAAATGGCTCTCCTGACTGGAGCGCAAACAGCTTGGAGGCTGGGAAGCAGACTGGAGAGAGAGACCTTTGCTTATAGGTCTGATTGGATCATTTCATATTTTGTAAGATGCTGAGCCTGTGTTGGATAGCAGAAGATATTGCATGCATATTTTAGATGTTTTTGTGTTTTGAAGAAAGTTCTGCCAGCTAAAGTTTGAATATTTCTATGGGTCTGGACAATGTTTCACTTCTAAAGGAGTAAGTTTTTATGCCTCCAGTCGCTTCAAACTGTGCAATATTTAATATCTGCAACACACCATCGGTAGTAGATGGATCAATGGCCTGACGTGGTAGAAAGCAATTTCTTATGTTCCAGTACCAACCCCAACAAATAGGGTAGTGGGTGCAGAATGCAGCTTCCAGAGAATCTTCAAAACAAACACACACAAGAAAGAGGGTGGGGTAGGCTCTCTGGCATGTTCCTGGTCATTCTCTGTTTCCATTCTTCTTCTTCTCCTCCTCCTCCTCCTCCTCCTTTTTCCCTGACAGGGACTCAAGGCAGCTTACACTAAAATTTTATTTTGTTCCATTTATCTGTGGATCCCTTCCCTTGCACATTTTTTCTTTACAGCATTCCTGTGAGATAGGTGAGGTGCAGAGGTTGCCATTGGCTCAAGGTGATCAATATCAATGTATGACAAATATGAGGTATAGGTGTGCTGTGAGATCCAATGCGAGAGAAGCTTCCTGATGTTGAGTAGGTTGTCTCTATTTTCCTCAGAGAAACATTGGAGGGCAGATGATTTGGCTTTATAAGCGCGTGGAGGGTGGGATCCACATCTCTTACCAGTACAAGAGGTAAGAGCATCTTCTTTCTTTCAACAAATAAGAATAATACAAATAAAAATGTGTACGCTGAGCCTGAGACCATTATTTATCATAATTATCAAACTTTCCAAAATGCAACACTTCTTGAAATGGTTTAACCCTTTCTATTTTAACAATACAAATTCCACAAATATCTTCCCTTTCCCCCTTCTTTGATAGCACATGTTAATTGATCATTAATTGCTATATCCTATACTTCTTTATACCATTCTTCTATTTGATATCCACCTTGCTTTTTCCATTTCCTAGCTATAACAACCCTTGCCACTGCAAGCAAGTTTGTAAGTTAAGTCCTTCATAGTTTGGGTACAATTTAACCTTCTCAAACAATGCTATTTCTGGACTTTTGTTCAGCATTAAAAGGGCATCTCTTGAAGACCTTTTAATGTAAACAGATCTATGCAACTGTTTACAATTTTTATCAACCAGTCACTTTAGTCCTTTTTTGCTGGTTTTATATTTTATTATGTATACTGCTGTAAACTGCCATGTTAAATTGTATTGAATTGGTGGTATATACCGTACTTTGATAGTCAAACAAAAGTATTTACATTATTAAAACTTCAGTTGTATTGTAGTTCCATTTTGCATATTTGTATAGAATCTCTCCCGGGTGCAAGTAGATAAATAGGGACCGCTTACTAGCGGGAAGGTAAACAGCGTTTCCGTGTGCGGCTCTGGCTCGCCAGAGCAGCGATATCACGCTGGCCACGTGACCCGGAAGTGTCTCCGGACAGCGCTGGCCCCCGGCCTCTTGAGTGAGATGGGCGCACAACCCTAGAGTCTGTCAAGACTGGCCCGTACGGGCAGGGGTACCTTTACCTTTTATAGAATCTCTACACATTTTGTATGTGGATTTGTAACATTTTGCAACAATGGCAACTCCATGGCTGTGAAATACTTGCAGTTATAAAGTCCATTAAGATGTCAAATCAACTGTATAACACCAGGATGGAAAGCTGAAAGCTTTTTTTAAATATTGAAAGTTCATCTGTTCATATTTGTGAGTGCTTAGAAAGTGAGCTATTTTCCTAATAAGTAATAACAAATGTCCTGTTCCCAGGCTAATTAGTGTGCTTTTGTCTATACTGTACATAAACAGAGTTCATAGCAAAAGGTCAAAGGACTATGTTACTGTAAAGTCAGTCAATAAATGTGGTTAGTTAAATAAATGCTTGTTTTGCCTAGGAAGAAGAGGCTGTAGTGACTTTAATGGAGGATAAAGACTGCGAGAAATGCAAACTCACACCAGCTGCAGACACAACAGCCTGAGAGCAAGACAAATATAGGTAATTTCAGACAATGCTAGAGAGCTGACATCTGTGGCTGAAAGAGTCGGCAAGCCCAAGGAAGCACGTCACTAGCTACCTTAATAAGTATTGAACAAATAAATGCCAGATGGGGCTTTGTGGTGGCAGATCTCACCTTAATGGATTTCCCAGACCAATGTAAGTGTTTCATGCTGTGTAAGCAAGATTGGGAAAATTTAGTTTGCAGTGGAATAAATAGAACAAAGTGAAAAAGCCTGTAGGAGATGCCCTACAATTAGAAATAATGTGATTATATTTAGTGATCACACAAAGCTTCCATTAATAGTATGAGATGCTGCCATCTTCAAGAATCAATGAGCTGAGGGCTTAGCAGGTTTGAAACAGCATTTCAGAATTGACTTCAAAATCAGAGGAGAAAGTTTGGGTGATGAAGTATGATGTGCAGAATCATTCCTTCCCCTTTCCAGCTCTTAAAAGTGTATAAAATAACCTTTCCAAACAGCCCTTCAATCAAAGAATAATAGAATTGTAGAGTTGGAAGGGACCCCAAGTCCAGCCCCCTGCAGTGCGGGAAACTCAACTGAATGCCACTTATCTAAAATATCTCTATTGATACACATCTTGCTCCATCAAATTATGGATGGAATATAGATAATAGTTTCCACCATATAGTATATTATATATCCCAAAGAGATGCAGGAAGATTTCCAATGACAGAAGAGTTTTTAAAGCTGCATAAATCTATTTAAGGGGAAATATATCATAGTGGTCTCAAAATGGCTAAAGTGGAGGGGACTAGACAAGAAGGTCACAAATACTGGTGAAAAAAATGTTGTCTTATAGTTTCATTCATCTGCCCTGAAATGAATGGAAGCTCTGAAGGAGCTGGGTATGTTTGGACTGGAAAAGAGGAGACGGAGAGGAGGTAGAATAGCCATTTTCACATGTCTCAAGAGCTGGCACATGGAAAAGAGAACAAGCTGGTTCTCTCTTGCTCTGGAGAGCAGGGCTCAAACCAATGGCTTCAAGCTACAAGAAAGGAGATTCTGACGAAACATCAAGAAGGATTTTCTGACAGTAAGAACAGTTCACAGTGAAATGGACTCCCTTGAAAGGTTGTGGACTCTCCTTCCTTGGAGGTTTTTAAGGAGAGGTTGGGTGGCCACCCGTCATGGATGCTTTAGCATTGCAGGGGGTTGGACTAGATGACCCTGTCACCTGTGGAGAAATACATTGGACAGTGAAATACAGCTTTAATGGGCCTATACCACCCTCTGCATCATTGCATTTCTCTGTATGGTTCACAGGATTGCACTATTCCTCTTCATATTTCCTTTATTGAAAACAAAATCATAAAAATAATTTTGATAAATGCAACAATACTTTGATTTTTAAAGTACCATTGATAAACACCACTGATAAGCTATGACACACAAGAATTGCAAGTATTTTGTGTCCCTTTTAATTAAAGACTGCAAAATAGCACCACTGATCTACACCAGAAAGGCGCTCACCATAAAAGAGTTGATGGTCATTGAACTGAATTAAGAGCTGCATGTTGTTCTTTACATTCAAGTTTCAGGTTATCCCAAGGCCTCCTTAGTAGTCTGCCTGGTTCTGCTTATAGATCCAACATGTTTCAGATCCTAACTGGTCATACTTCAGGGAAATCTAAAATCTTTAAAAATAAAAATACAGAAATAAATGGTATACATCCTCTGCTATACCCTGTATTCCATTCTGTATCCAATTATGAAAGAGGGAAAAAATGGGTAACATAGTGAAAAGATAGCAAAACTTTTGTATCTACTAGACTTGAGAGAACTATTCTGATGATGAATGAACAAGGACCCCTAGGAATTGTTTCCAGGAAAGGGACATAGACAAGGGCTTACACTAATTAGCACCCAAGAAAGCCCAGGCAATATAAATCAGTGCTAGTGCCTATATTTGCATTCTCTTGAACAATGGATGCTGTCAACCATGTGTAGTATTTTCTAGCACAAACTCTGAACCTTGATTTCATTCTTCCTTTTCTAATACCAAAGTGAATGGGACGGTCCAGTACTAGAGTAGCTGAGAAGGAAGATCCACATTTCTTCAAGCAACTGTTTTAAATATTCAGGAATCCTCACCATTTATTCCCTGAATATCAGTAATATTAAATCTGGCACAAAGATTATGGTCTGATAGTTCAACAAAATCTGTATAACATGCATATAAAGCCCAGGCAATGCTGTCAGCGAAAAGGATCTTCATAGTGCCCAAGATGAAACGGCTGCCAATCAGAGGGCAACACCTCATTTATGTAATTTCCTCCCCATAGACCCATCTGGAAACTACTTTTCTATCTTTTGACACGTACACGTGTTTGTGTGTGTGTGTGTGTTTTCCTAGTCCTTTTTAGGGTCTGAGTTTTATTGTTTTAATCTGCTTTTAGTATATTTGTAATTCTGATTTGGTACGGTTTATGAGTTTTCTTATTAAGCGGACATGAAAAAATTAGTTGGTATGCAAAATATTGTAAAAAGCACTTCAGTTTGTTTTTTAATTTTTACATTTACATAATTGATGGTAGAATAAAAATAAATTTAAAAGTAGGTTTGATTTCTAATCAAATATCAGGATGATATGAGGGCAATTTAGCTAGTTTCTAATATTACAACACAAAGAAAAGCAATAGGGTAAAATTGTGTGTGTGAGTGTGAGAGAAAGACAATATAGATATAAACAAACTATTTTAAGACAAAAATTAATTTTTATTTGTCTGCACATGTTTGACATTAAAGTGTTGACCTGTCATATTCAGCTATGCTTCATTTATGCAAATTGTCTAAGTTCTAACTTTGGATACCATCAAGACTGAGCTTCCAATAAAAAATGACGGCTCACCTTTGTTTGAATCAATTGATTTAGCCCAAGCTCTGTCCCATGTAGAACAGGTATGCAAACCTCTAATTCTTCCATACCTTCTCTCCTTCCCCTTCCACACCAAAGCAGACCATCCAATTATATCCGTAACAGTGTATACAGCAGGGATGTGGAACCTATTGCCCTGCAGATGCTGCTGGACTACAACTCCAATAATCCACTGCCCATGTTGGCTGCAGCTAATAGGAGTTGTAGTCCAACAATGTCTGGAGGGCCAGAGGTTTCCCACCCCAATGTACAGTGATCATCCATACCTACATGTGGATGTCTATAAGCTGTTCAACAGCTGGACAGTACCCAGATCTCCCACAAGAAATAAAAACCAAGCTCTTGCTATCCATTGCACATCTGTACTGGAAAAACTAGAGGATTTTCTTTAGTTTGCTAGTCAATAGAAAAATAATAATAAACATTAGGAGCAAGTTAAAGACCATGGCTTAGTGACACTTTACATGTACAGTCGTACCTTAGTTGTCAAACGCCCTAGAACTCGGACATTTTGGCTCCCGAAATTCAGAAGTGACTGTTCCGACTGTCAAACGTTCTTTTGGAAGCCAAACGTCCAACGGGGCTTCTGCAGCTTCCAAATGGCTGTAGGAGCTTCCTGCAGCCAATCAGAAGCCGCGATTTGGAAGTTGAATGCTTTGGAAGTCGAAAGGACAATTCCATGCAATAAAACACTGTGTGCCAGTATGCATGCCTTATTACACATGCGTGCCTGGGGCATTTAATTCATTATGACTTCACAAGGTTGCCGGCCAAATGAAATCAGACATTCTGATCTAACAAACATTAACAAACAAAGCACAGGGCTTTGGGCATAAGGGACATATTAAAAATTAAAAGTTTGGCAACTCTCAATTTGTGATTACTTCCTGCTAGTGCAATGCCTTACGAAAGACTGAATATCTTGTCAACAGGGAGATGTTTTCCCAGAAGCACAACACCAGACGTCCTTCCACAGGATTAAGGCTCAACAGTAATGTACAACTTTTTTTAAAAAAGTCCTCCCCTCCCCACCTTCTCAAGAAGTTCAAATTTTGTGGTCAAGTCCCAACACCTCTGGTGGTTAATCTGGAGCAGGTTGACTATGACTGCCACTTCTTGTCTTCAGCTGTGATTGAGCAATGTCAGCTAAAGCATTCTGTATCTTCTCCAAGAGCATATCCCCACGATAAACCACCTCTTCAAGACGTGCAGCTGCCTCGTGATTCTCTTCCTCCAAGCGATGCAAACTGGCAGCCTATACATTTGGAAAAAACAGAAATGCTGACAGCACATCTGTTTAGTACTTTAAAATTGAAGATGATTGACTCTTGCGGGGGGGGGGGGGAGGAGGAGGTAAGAGTCATTTCTGGGACCCTCTTATTTTTAGCCTGTGAATAGCTGGTGTCTTATAACACTTTGTAATACTGCATGTTATTATGCATTTCAGTAACACAGAACCTGAAAAGTCTAATACTGTACAGTTTCATTTACTGGAGACAACTCCCTTAATGACTTCGCAGAAGTGGTAGAGCACATGCTTTGCATCCAAAAGTCCCTCCAGGGCTGTGAAAACACCACCACCTGAAACCTTTGTCTGCATTGACAATACTAAACTAGATGGACCAATGGCCTGACTTGGTATGCAACAGCTTCCTATATTCTGACACCCCCTCAAGCACTCAAAAGTGGACTTCTTATTTAATTTAAATTTTTATCTTCCCTATCCAAAGAGCCCAGGGCATCAAACAACCATGTAGCAAAATAGAATTAAAAATAGAATTAAATACATTTTTAATGTTTAAAAATAGATATAAAATGTTTTTTTAAAAAACAGGTATATACCCCCACAGCTAATAATTTCTAAGTTATCAAGAACTGTATTTAAGATAGATTAAGCTTTTTAATGGTCACAGCAGGAACTAAGCCAGTCTTTGTTCTTGGGCAAGCTAGCAGCCTCTCAACTCCAGGTTTGGTCCATTTTCATATATTTATAGCCCAAGTTATAGAACAAAAACAACCTTGGTTGCTCTAAGTGCATTGTCTACATCAATCAGGAGTTGGTGTTTCTGCGGGATCTGCAAAGGTTTGATATCATAAAACTGGGTACACTTCTGGACCAACAGGCTGAAATGGGGCTTTGGCACCACAAATCATTCTGGGAAGTGCAGTTCCAGAAAGGGGTTCTGGAAGACACGTTTTGGTCAATGGTTCCCTAAAGAGATCACCACCCCCACCGAAGAAAATGCTGTCTGACATTTACATAAGAGGTGATAAAACATACTTCTCCAGATGCTGGACTTCAGCTCCCATCAGCCCCAGCCAGTATGGCCAATAGTCAGGAATGATGGGAGTTTGAGTCCTGCAGCATCTGGAGGGCCACAGGTTCTCCGCCCATTACTTAAGAGTGTACAGCATTAGCGGTTATTATGGACTTCTCTGTGCCAGTCAAGGTTGTTTCATATTCTTAGCATCCAATAGTAAACAAAATCAGTATTACACAAAGCATGAGCCATTTAAATTTCATTTTTACTTGTAATGTGGCTGTTGATTCTTCACTGGGCAAGGAATCTATTAATACGTCAATATCCTTGGCAGTTCTTGCAATCAATGCAGCAAACAGCTGGGCATATTCTGTAAAAGCAACATGGACACCATCTTTATAATTATTGCAGAAGATCAAGTTGTTTAAAAGAAATAAAATTTCAAGATGCACAATAATATTTACTGTATCATGACAGATATTTTTATTATTTTGTTTTCTGCATATTTTTACAATAACTACTGCAAAGATTTACTGTACAGCACATGGGAATGGAGTACAGAAAGTCTAAAACAACACATTTCCCTACAGAGTGCAAATAAGTTGGATCTAGTGTTGCTTTTGCCTAAGCAGAAAGCACTTTGTTCATGCAAGGCAGGGCACCTGATTTTCAACAATCCCACTGCCTATATTGGAATGCGGCAGCAAGACTGGTGACTGGGAGTGGCTGCCGGGATCATATAACACTGGTCCAAAAGGATCTTCACTGGCTTCCAGTACGTTTTCGAACACAATTCAAAGTGTTGGTACTGACGTTTAAAGCCCTAAATGGCCTTGGCCCAGTATACCTGAAGGAGTGGCTCCAGCCCCATCATTCAGCCCAGACACTGTCCTCCTCCTCTGAGGGTCTTCTGGTGGTTCCCTCACTGCGAGAAGCGAAGTTAGAGGGAAGCAGGAGAGGGCCTTCTTGGTAGTGGCACCCACCCTGTAAAACGCTCTCTCTTCAGATGTCAAGGAGATAAATAACTACATAACTTTTAAAAGACATCTGAAGGTATTGGGAAGTTTTTAATGTTTGATGTTTTACTATGCTGTAAGCCACCCAGTGACTGGAGAAACCCAGCCAGATGAACAGGGTATAAATAAAATTATTATTATTACAGTGGTATCTCAAGTTAAGTACTTAATTCGTTCCGGAGGTCTGTTCTTAACCTGAAACTGTTCTTAACCTGAAGCATCACTTTAGCTAATGGGGCCTCCTGCTGCCGCTGCACCGCCGGAGCACGATTTCTGTTCTCATCCTGAAGCAAAGTTCTTAACCCGAAGAAATATTTCTGGGTTAGCAGAGTCTGTAACCTGAAGCGTATGTAACCTGAGGTACCACTGTACAACTATAATTATTATTACCCATTACAGAGGGTCCCCCAACACTTGGGAGAAGCTTTGCTGTGGGACACTGGAGACTTAAGGGTGTGTGTGGATGGGATCAGTAATAAGTGCTCCAACCTGCATGAGTGGAACTGTCTTCTCTATGCGGAGGTGTACCTAGGCTCTCATGCACCCTTGGCAAAAAGTTGTATCAGCATCTCCAACCAGAAACTCAAGAAGTTTGCTTTTGTTGTCTTAAGTGTTCTACCAGTGGACGGCAGGGGAAGCTCATAGCCACTCCGAGCCAGAGTGGAGAAGTACATTTTTTGCACCCACTTGGGCCTGTGCCATGGGATAACCTGGCCAATCCCTAGGTATGCCCCTGCTACTATGGCAAAGCTTCCACAGGATAGGTTCTATTATGTGAGTAGTCCATTAACGAACAGGAAACTATATTATGAGATGTGAGCATTGCAATGACCATATAAGCTTCACAGCACAATCCCTTTGCATATTTACTTAAAAATAAGTTCTACAGTGTTCAGTGTAGCTTACTCGCAGCATCTCCAGGCTGCAATCCTAAACACGCTTACTAGGTAGTAAGGCCCACTCAACATGGTGAGACTTGTAAGAATCACAGAATTGGAAAGGACCCCAAAGAGTCCTCTTGTCCAATCTCCTGCAATGCAGGAATCTCATAGAATAGGTTAAAACAAGCATAGAACAGGTTAAATGACCTTACTATGCAAGTGACAATACAGAAATACCAGTTTCAGATTTAGTTTGCTATAAGATGCTTCACATCTGAGCAATTGTAGGCAGGGCAGTAGCATCACTATAAGTCAGAAAAGTGGTATACAGTGGTGCCCCGCAAGACGAACGCCTCGCAAGACGGAAAACCCGCTAGAGGAAAGGGTTTTCCGTTTTGGAGGCGCTTCGCAAAACGAATTTCCCTATGGGCTTCCTTCGCAAGACGAAAGCCCATAGGGAAATCTCCGGGACAGCGGGGAAGCGCAGCGCGTCTTCCCCACTGTCCTCGGACCTCCTCCGAAGCCTGGCGGCGGGGTGGGAACACCTCCTCCCGCCGCCCGGCTTCGGAAGGATGCTGAAGCCGGGCGGGGGGAGGGGCGGAGAGACCTCCTCCCACCGCCAGGCTTCGGAAGGCTGTCCTGAAGACTTGGGGTGGGAGAAGGGTTTTCCTTCCCACCGCCAACATTCAGAATGCTGTTCTGAATGTTGGCGGTGGGGAGGAAAAACCCTCCTCCCACGCAAGCCCCGGGAACAGAGGAAAAGCGCTGCGCGCCTTCCCCTCTGTTCCCGTACCTGTCCTGAAGGCTTGCAGTGGGGAGAAAAGCCCTTCTCCGCACCGCCAGCCTGGCAAGCGGTTTCCATAGGAATGCATTGATTTTCAATGCATTCCTATGGGAAACCGTGCTTCGCAAGACGAAAAACTCGCAAGAAGAAAAAACTTGCGGAACGAATTAATTTCGTCTTGCGAGGCACCACTGTATTCCTGCAGTCCATAGTCCCCAGGCTGTCCAACTTATAGCCACAAGAATCCCTCCTTACAGAAGGCAAACAAAAACTTACGGTGGTACGAATATGTCTTATAGGTTCATTCAATGTTTACTTGGAGGAATTACTCATGGACAATTAAACTGAGGCAAATGTTAGTGGCCTCTCTTACATCAGTTGCAGAGAACCTTGAGCCCTCTAGATTTTGGTAAACTATCAGCTCCCAACATCCCTGGCCATTGGCCATGTTGGAGTTGGAGTTCAGCAACCTGTGGAGGGGGAAGAGGTTCCCACACCCTCTTCACACACTTGTACATCCTACAAATAATCCCTGCCAATTCATTATTGATTAAAAAGCTGTTAAGGAAGAAACTTACATAAATTTACTTTATTAAAAAGTAAAGGACAAATACTGGTTTTCATTGTTCTTGTTACATCTGTTTCTTTTATAAAACCAGTAAGACATTTTTAAAAAGTACAGTTCAGAATTAAAAAGAGATTCCCATTTTACATTACAGTGCATTATTTTACTCTTATCTCCCTGAAAAGTATTCCAGGGAAGTTTACTTGCCTTCTGTAGGATTAGTAGGCTGATCCTTGTTTATTGCCGTTTGGATATTGGTGAAGGAAGCGGGTGGGGCACACTGCTGCAATACTCCAATCGCATTACAAAATTGATCTGCAAGCTATTGACAAATACAAAATACACGAAGCATCAGCCATTAGCTGCTTCAGGCGTCTCAGGAAGCCCCTTTTTGTGCCCAGGCTCTTTCCCTGACTCCCAAGACCCTCTTTCTACTGCTTCACCCCTGCGTTTTTGCACCCTGCTTAGGGGTTTTAACTAATAAGCTCTTCAGAAAGGCTTTTGCACAAAAATAATAAGAATAACGCGATCAGCTGAGGCGCTTGCAGCATCACGATGCGTCTACGGTCCTTCTTACGCGCAGCCACGAGCTCCCTCCCTCCTCCTCCTCCCACCCCCCTTTTTAAGGGCCCGGGGACGTTCCGCTCAAGGCCCAGGCCCCGTCCCGGGCGGAACGCGGCCTCCCTCACCGAGTTCACCGCATCCTGCAGCTGCGTGAGGCGGTCCGCCATTGCGCGCCAGTCCCCGCATGCAGAGGCGGCGCCCTCTTCCTCTGCTCCTCATTGGGCGCAGCCAATGTCGCAGCCAATGGACGGAGCAGGAGCGGGGAGGCGGGCTTTGAGGTTGCCAGGGCGACGCCTCGGAAGCGTTCCCTTTTTGGTCCGACTCGCTGCCGGTGCCATAGCGGAAAAGCAACAACCAAACCCAGGCGAGGCGTCTGGGGACGTTTCGTGGTCCCGCCCTCTGTCGGACAGGAGGAGGAGCTGCAGCTCTCATTTTGAGAAAGGAAAAGGGGCGCCTTAAAGACCAGCAAATTGTAGCTTGAGAGTTTGCAGCAGAATAGTAAACGGTGAGGTCAGAGGAAAATGAAAGTAATACGTTATTAGCAGGGAAATACACTAAGTTGAGGCAGTGGCCATTGGCAAAGCAGTGTTGGCGATGGCATACATGTTTATTTTATTGATTTAACAAAATTTATATACTGCCTGTTTGCAGTAAAACCACTAAGCCGTTTACGATAAAATATTAAAAGCATCAATAAAAACAGTTAAAGGTCATTAAAACCAACACTGAAAACTATCAAGGCACATCAGCCCCTACATGATAGGCTTTCCGAAACAAAAATGTTTTCAAGCAGACACTGAGAGGAGTACAGAAATCAATAGGCAGGAAGTTCCAAAGTTTAGGTGTCGCCACATTAAGAGATTTTGTTACAACTGTGGAAAGTGATGATCTCGTTTTGTATTTTTCTGCTGTGAATCGCCCTGGGATCGTCGGGTGAAGGGTGGTATACAAATTAAATAAATGCTAAGAATAAGCATTATGAGGCACCACACCAATAATGGTACCAGTTCCGCAGGTTTAAGCAGCTGCGTGGGTGAACATGGGGTAAGGCAATCCTGCAGATATATCCTGGCATTTGTAAGCTAGTGTGATTAAAATGTCACTATTCAAATCATTTGTTGATAGAATTAGACCTCTAAATAAATGTGCTAATCTTTAAGGTGCCACAAGAGTCCACTGGTTTTGATAAATTATGTGGCTGCACATTGCAGTCTCCCCTTGTTTGTGCATAACCATCTCCAATCCACAAAAGCTTATGCAATAATACATTTGTTAGTATTTTAAGATTCTACAATATTCTTTTGTGGTGTTTGCTGCAACAAACTAACCCAGCTTCCCCTCTGATTGGCAGTAGAGAAACAGATGGAGCTGCAAGAGCTCTCAGCCTTTGTACACTCACTTGGAGTAAATGTGCGCAGGACAGGGCTGCACACAGCACCATAACTTGGTGGTAGAGAACATGGTTTACACGCAAAAGGTCCCAGCTCTAATCCCTGGACTCTGCCTGAAACTTGCAGAGTCAGTGTTGGCAACATTGAGCTAGCTGGACCAATGGTCTGACTTAGCGTAAGGCAGTTTCTGACATTTCCAATTTCTCAGGAAGTTCTGTTGAAATAAGTGGTGATGTATTATGAAAGGCTGTGAAAAGGATGCTGCCAACCTCTGTATAGCTCATTCGGTAGAGCATGAGATTCTGCACCTGTGGAATTTTTGCAAATCATGCAACTGTTAAAAGCGCACACAAAAAATGTCTTTCAAGAAAAAACGCACAAGACTAATTCTTTCTGCACTTACTTGCTAGGAAGAATCACTGATCTCTGCAAGATTTACTTCTGAGAAACCTGTATCTGACAGGGCTATTACTATGGAGAAAACCTCATTCAACTCAGAGATAACTGAGCAAACAGGGCTGAATCTACACACATATATAAAACGCTGTGAAAATGCTTTTATTAAAAAACATTTAAAAATATATATGGAATTTTTCATTAGCTCACCCACACCATCTAGTGTCACATTTATATAATGCACTTAAAACACACTTAAAACGTGTGCTTGTGCTGAAAAAGATGGCGACTCTAATGAGTAACCACCAGCCTCTTTCCGGGCCCCTAAACCTGCACATCAGCTCAGGGGGTAAGCCCCACCCTGCATAATCGATCGCAAGACTTGGCGCACATGCACCATTTGAATGGCACTTGGAGGGAGGGTGGCCCCCTCCAAGATGGGTGTAGCCAAGAGCGGGCAGATCGCCTGAGAAACACCTCAACCCCTTTGGCTGCCCCCCCAGCAAAAATCCTGGCTACGCCCATGCCCCCCAAGGCCCCAGCTCCTTCTGCCCCCTCCCTTGGTTTTCTATATAGTAGACCCTTCGGAGAAGTCCCCCTAGTCTCGCCGCCTCCTGCGTCCCCTGCCAAGAGATTTTCTTTCCATAATGCAAGGCTGCATTTCCCCCTTCCCACCCCACTTGCTGGCGGATTAGTTATTCCCCTCCACGCTCTTGAAGCAGGCAATCGTTTTAAATTTTGTTAAGGTGAGCTGAATTTCCAAGCATTTGACATTTTGGGTGAGGCGGCGGCGGCATTCCCAGGCGCGGCGAGAGATGCAAACAAAGCAAGCGGGCTGCCATTTTTGGGAAGGAGGGTTGCTGCAACCTGCACGGCCGCACTGGCCCCTTGGCCAAGCAAACTCCGCGGGACGGGGGGGGGGGTTGTGGTTCTTGTCTCTGCGCCAACCGGCGCCTCGACGGGGGCCGCCCGGCCCGCGGAAGAGGGAGGCGGGGCGAGAAGGGCTCCCTCCCCGGAAGTGAGCGCCTGTTGCGCAGCCGGAGGGTTTCGGCACCGCGGCGCGTTGCAGGGCGAGGGAGGCGCGCCGGGGAGCCGGGATGCGACTCCGCGCTTGCTGCCCGGGATAGAGCCCGCTTGCACCGCCGCCCCCATTCCCCCCCCGGCTCGTGCTGTGTCTTGCTTCGTGTGCATGCGATCCCTTGTCTCGCGCTGCGGATCCTCTTGCGCGCGGAGAGGCGGCAGACACCATGGGGCTCCTCGCGCTGCTTCTGGTGCTCGGGTGCTTTTACAGGTACGAAGGTGCAGAGGACGCCGCGGCAGGTAAGGCCACAAAGGCTGATACTTATCTAATAATCCTGTACCCACTTTATCTGGATTTGCTCACTGACCAGACAAGTTAAAGATGGGGCCACATATGGCTTCGTTTCTGGGAAACGGTGCCCCATTCCCCATGCCTGTTGCACGCCCGAAGTTAACGGGGTTTGGGCTGGATCTTGGCTGGAGGGCTCGTGGCTTAAAGCTGCTTTCCTTCCAAAGGGATCTTAGTGTAGAAGAAGCCGGGAAGGGCTGTCTTGTTTCTCAAAACAAGAGAAACAAGTCAGCAAAGCAGGCTGTGTGCGCCTTGGACTGATGCTGTTGTGTATGGATTGGGTTTTCGGGGCTCTGTATGAAAACTATGTTGATTGTGTTTACTTAATTCAGCTAAAGCAAAGGGAAATTTTCCCCGCCCCTCCATGGGTGCAAGGAGAGTTGCTTTATCTAATCGGTACTGTGTTCTGTTTTGCACATTGTGCAACAACAAACCTGAGTTTGCCACCTGGTGTCCTCTCAACCTGGCTCCTTTATATGGTTCACTGTCTCATGTGTGTTTGTCACATTAAACTTTTGGAGGGGGCATATATATATGAGAATCCTAAGATGTAAACCTTAAAATGTTACGTATGAAGAAACTGTAACCCATATACTGCCAGGGTGGAAAACCCCTTTTTGGCTTCAGGGCTGCATGCCCTTCCAGGAACCCCATACCCCTGGTGGAAGGGGACAGAGGCAAAAGTGAGCAGATAAATTGCTGTAAATTTTACCTTGGTACAGCAGGCAAGCTTCTCCACACTCCAAACACACCTCCCTCTAGCCGAGATCCAGGCAAGCGGAAGGAATTATTGGAGTCCAAGGACCCATTCCAGCCAGACATAAAGACTCAAGGAAGCTGCAAGGAGGGCCAGGGAGGGGGCTTCCTTGGTTTTGGCTGGCAATGGGAATATAGGCATTAGTTGCCTGTATTACCCATGTCAGCTGTCTTCCAATGGAAGCAAAGCAGTCATGGGAATTGTAGGCTTTAGAAGAACTGGTCATGTGTCTTCATAGTTTGAGTCATGTGCCTTGGCATCTGTGCAGCGTTCTTGGTTCCCTGAGCTGATGAACAAGCGTGTCTTTTATTGCTGAGACAAAGTCTTAAGCTCTGCTGTGGATAATGCAGAAGGAACAGCAGCAAATGTGTCATTGGGCGCAATTACATTATATGTAAACGCTCAAACTAGTTTTGCAGCTCTCACTGGTTTGTCAGAGTTCTTGCTGCAATATTGCATGAGCTTTGATAATGGTCTACAGAAGAACAACTTAATTAATATTAGAAGCAAGGAGCATTCTTACAGCTTGAAGAATGTGACTATTCTAGGGCCATGGTATTTTGCAATACTGTACACAGCTGGTAACCTAAACTGCTTTTCCTTTGACTTCAGAAGGCGGAAGGTTGGCAGTTCAAATCTCCATGATGGGATGAGCCCCCATTGGTTGGTTCCAGCTCCTGCCCACCTAGCAGTTCAAAAACACGTCAAGTGCAAGTAGATCAATAGGTTCTGCTCTGGCGGGAAGCGTTTCCATGCGCTGCTCTGGTTTTGCCAGAAGCAGCTTAGTCTCTGTTGCAGTTCATAGAATTTTGGAACCATTTCTGATTGCTGAGCCACTGGTTACACCAGGAAGGATAGGTTTTCTATCTTAACACCTCTCCAGAGCTGTCTTGATGACAAATAAAAGGAATGCACATTGGAGAGACTCATTTGTTTTCCAATTCCAAAAAACAGAAACAAAACCAGAGTCTAAAAAATAAGAACAGGAGAAAAGCCCTGCTGGATCAAGTCAGTTGCCCATCTAGTCCAGCGTTTTGTTCTCAGTATCCAGCCAGATGCTGATGGGATGCTTGAAAACAGGTCCCGAGTGCAACAGCTCTCTCCCCACTTGTGATTCTGAGCAAATGGTATTCAGACAGTGGAGGCAGATTATAGTCTTATCCTCTATTAGGTTTTTTAATCCTCCTTTAAAGCCATCCAGTTTGGTGGCCATCATTACTTCTGGTGGGAGCAAATTCCACAGCTGAACTATGTGCTGTATTGGTATTTTAAAGCAAATTATTTCTTTATGTTTAAGTCTCTCTTTTGACTTGTGTAATGCCATCTCATTCCTGACCAAAGATGAGCAAAAGCAGCAGAGCTGCCCATTTTATACTACTACCTTAACTTCAGGCAGGCACATACAACTGATAAGGTAAAGGTACTCCTGGATGGTTAAGTCCAGTCAAAGGCAACTGGGGTTGCGGCACTCATCTTGCTTCAGCCCGAAGAAGCCAGTGTTTGTCCGCAGACAGTTTTCCGGGTCATGTGGCCGGCATGACTAAACTGCTTCTGGCACAACGGGACACCGTGACGGAAGCCAGAGCACACAGAAACACCATTTACCTTCCCGTTGCAGCGGTACCCATTTATCTACTTGCACTGGTGTGCTTTTGAACTTGGTAGGAGCTGGGACAGAGCAATAGGAGCTCAACTCATTTTAGTTTGCCCCCAGCCTCCTCCCTACAAGGATTAACATTGAGACTGAGGAAGCTGGCAGGCAGTGTCACCCCCTGGACTGCATAGATGTTGTTGAACTACAACTCCCATCACCCCTAGCTAGCAAGGCCAGAGCTCAGGGATGATGGGAGTTGTAGTCCAACAACATCTGGGGCCCCACAGGTTGAGAACCGCTGGCATAGACCATCTTGGTTGTGAGTCCTGGAAAATCTGCTCCCTGCCTGGCAGGCCTTTCCTACCTAGCCTGGGAGGGCAGGACCCTGACTGATTCCAGCTACAAAAACCTGCAGGAGTGATGGCGGCTTCACCCAGTTGCCTCATGGAACCAGGGCTCATGCAGCTCGTTCCTCCCTCTGTGCGCCAGGCACAGGCAGCGGAAGCACTGGCGGAGGAAGAGGAGTGTGGGGGGAGCACATCGCCCCCAACAGCACAATCCTGGTGGGGTGCCATCGCAGCTCCGCCCCCGCAGACGGCGTGCCACTCCCCCAGGATGCGCGCCATGCCCCTGGGACCTGCGCCAGCCCCACCCCTGCCTACTCTCCGCCCCCCCAGTGCTGAAGCAAGAAGCTCCGCCACTGAGTGGAAGGACTCAGAGCGGCAGCAGTTTCACCCATGATTACTGCCTGCTGAAGGCGCCATCGCACTCTGGCCCTCTAACCAGTCCTGGGCGATGTATCCAGGATGCCATGTTCTGCGAAGCAATTTATAATAGCAGTAGTATTTGGTTTTGCGTACAGAATTTGTTCTGCATTTCTTACATGGCTTCCTTTTGGGAGATGTAAACTACTTAGGTTTCTGTTGCAATATGAAGGGTACAGGCCGCTCCCAATTTTCGCTCCGAGGGTTACGCTCCGAGGCACCAGGCATTTAAGTGAAAGCGCATATATTTGAAACACCATTGAAAAAGCCAGCAAACGCCCTCTAAACCTCTGGAAACCCTTGAAAAACTCTTTTAAAAATCAGCAGCACTTACCAGATGCCAAATTCCACCACAGTTGCTCCCTCCAAACCTCCTTGTTTAAACTCCAGCTCTCCACAGTCAGTCCAAGGGCTCCTGAAAGTGCACTTGCAAAGTGGGATTGCTAGGCGCTGTTTTTTGTGCCCGTTTTGCTCTTTCTGGGCTCTTAGGGCCGTTTATTACATGTGAGCAGTTACACCTCAATTGGTTGTGCATAAATTGGTTGTTACCTGTATATAAGTTATAAAGCCTTGTGGCAATGGAGGCTTTAAGCTTCCTACCAACTTCATCAGAGGGATTGTGGGGGACTGACAAGGAGCAATTCCAACCTCAGTCAGCATAGTGCTTTGCTTTGTACTGTACCACAGGTGTGATCACACTCGTTATCTGTTGCACGCTCTGGTGCTGGTTTTTTGGGGAGAGGTTCTTGCCCAAAGTTCACGTGTAGCAGTTCTGCTACCAGACGCAGGAGCAGGTTGCTCATCTTGATGTGTGTTAACACCAGGTCTGATTTTAATGTCATTTCACTTCATAGAACTATTGAACTAAACGCAGCCCTAAAAAGGTAAAGGTACCCCTGACCATTAAGTCCAGTCACGGACGACTCTGGGGTTGCGGGCTCATCTCGGTCTGTAGGCCGAGGGAGCCGGCATTTGTCCACAGACAGCTTCCGGGTCATGTGGCCAGCATGACTAAGCCGCTTCTGGTGAACCAGAGCAGCGCATGGAAAGCCGTTTACCTTCCCTCCGGAGCAGTACCTGTTGATCTACTTGTACTTGATGTGCTTTTGAACTGCCCTACAGTCACTCAAATATGATACACAATGTATTGATCAGCAGTTTTCACAAATGGTACTCATGTTCCAAAACAATCTAATCAGAATTATGCCTTGCTCAGAGCACATGGGTTATATAGGCTGTTCACAGATTAATCAATGGAAGCATACAGAGCAACTGAAAAAAATGTGACGGCCACACTGTAAAGGGTTTTCTTTGGCTTCAGTGTTGTGAATCTTTGAAAACCCTTGTCAAGTAGAAAAGCAGAGAATGTGGAACGAAGTAATCTTTACTGACAGAATGGTGCTTTATTTGGACAGTGCACTTGGTACGAAGTCATTTGAGGCCAAATTCAATAGTATCTCTTGTTATGTTAGCTATAGAAAATATCTTGTCTTGTTGAAACATAATGAACACCATCCCCAATCAGTTAGGTATGCATCTGGCTCATTGGAACTAATGGATCTTAGGAGTAATTGTGTACTTGTGTGACTCTGAATAAATCTCATTATTTGCAATGGGGTTTTGCATTGCCTAGCTTCCCTTGGGATTATATTTTGTGTATAAGATCAGTGTGCTTTTCAGTCCCTGAAGTGAACTAAGTACTTTTTCTGTCATGCCTTCCACAAGTGTTTGCACTAGTTTGTCCTTTGACTTTGGGCAGTGGTGCAATACAGAAAAGAAGAATCCTTTCTTTGGTACGAAATCCTGTCGGTCACTCTTCTTGAATGTGAAAATGGC